GAGAGAGAGAGAGAGAGAGAGAGACAGACAGACAGACAGACAGACAGACAGACAGACAGACAGAGACAGAGACACAAAGACAGAGAAAACAGACAGAGATTTAATTACTGTTCTATTGCTGTGATAAAACACCATGAGCAAGGAAACTTATAAAAGAAAGCCTTGAACTAGGGACTTGCTTACAGTTTCAGAGGGTGAGTCTATGACCATCGTGGTAGGGATCATGGTTGTAGGCAGGCATGGTGTTGGAGCACTAGCTGAAACTTACATCCTGATGATCAGGGTAGTCAGAAACCTCAATGCCCACCCTGCAGTGACACACTTTCTCCAATGAGACCAAATCTACTCCAACAAGGTCACACCTTGTCAACCTTCCTAAACAATCCACCATTTAGGAACCAAATATTCAAATATGTGAGCTTATGGGGATATTTTCACACACACACACACACACACACACACACACACACACACACACACACTTTGTTCATTTGCTTTTTTTACTTAGTCAAGTTTAGTATGGGATCACACTATGCAAATTTGTTGGGCATAAACTCAGGACCACCACATGTCCTCCTTGGTTTCTGTACCTGACTCAGTCTTAATTTAAACAGATCACCAAGGAGTAAATTGAAATGATCCTATCAGTGATTTATACTAAACATATTAATGAAAAGAAGTAATGTTGATCAGGTAGTAGTACTATATAGTATTCATATAGCTTTTAATTATTTGATTATAAATTAATAAAATGTGCTTTTCCTTATAGAAGGTGATAAATAGGGGTTTCAATGTATATAAGAAGCAGAACATGCCAAAATCCCAGAACACAAGAGACCAAGAGATCTGAGATAGCCTGCTTACAGAGGAAGACTGAGTTGAAACAAGCTGATACCTAGGAGACCTGGCTATAACTTAGTGGACAACACAAGTATTTTGAGTGAGCAACTGGGTCCCATCCCCAGTACTGCAAACTAAAGAATTAAGTAAACAAATACATAATTGAAAGAGCTAAAAATAACACATATTTATTTTTATATTTTGTACATTGACATTGGTATTATATTCCACATAAAAACCTTGGATATTAATATTAAAAGTATATTTTATTTTTACTTTTATGGATTAACTTAAAAAATCAGAATGTTATTCAATACAATCTCTCACTTATTTTTAGAACTAAATTATATCTTCAGAATTCTTTTGGAAAAATCTTCACTGTTTTGTACTTACCCACAATATCCTTCATAAGGCCAACAATACTCTCATCCCCAATAATCCAAGGACGTTTCCCTACATCATGACCATAGGCTCCCCTGAAATTGAAAAGGAACAAAACATTTCTTAGTTGTGGTAGTGGTGGTATGTGATTTTGTTTTCAAATATTAGCAAGTAAGATACTTCTGCGTGTGCTGTTTTAGTCTAAAGGTAACATGTTCCACAGGCTCATGTACCAAAATATGTCTTTCTAAATAGGTGGCCTGTTTGGGGAGGTAATAGGTTATTTAGGAGGTAGTGTCTAGCTGTAGGTAGTGGGTAACTTAAGGGTAAACCTGAGGTTTGTAGGCAGTTCTGCTTTGTTTTCTAATCTGCCCAGATGTGAACCAACAGTCTCATGTTCCTGTCATAGGAGCTGAGAGCTATAATCACTGTCACATGTTCTATACTATGATGGACTGTATCCTCAAACCATGAGTAACAATAAATCTTTGTCTATAAAGGTTGATTCTTCTCAGGCAGTTGACACAGTGACAAGACAAGTAACCAATGTACATCCCTTTCTAATGTTTAGGCAATAATACTAAAGTATAACTTTTTTTTAAAATCAAGAAGTAATACCTGGGTACTGTATACTTAAGATTCATCATTCTTTGTGTCTTTTTTTTTTTTTTTTTACTTTTGTGGATGGAAAATTATCCATATACTATTTCGTTTTCTAAAACATTTCCAGCCTAAACAGCTATTTTTCTCTTTATTTTCACATTTTCAGGACTATTAGAGAACTCTTCTTACATACTTGTGTCTACAGAAACATCGTTACAAAAATACACATACTATTTTATTTTTGGAAGCCAAAATCTATTAACGAGATAAAGATACATAAAATCACAATACTCGTTATAGTATTTTATACAAATAACAATTTAGTAACAGTCACAATCAGCAATACATCTTCAACCATCTTTCACTACATATTGACCTTTCATATTCCAGCTCAATTTTATTATTGCAGTGAATCTCTTAATAGGTTTTCTTGGGGGCAAATAAGAAAATACAAAAAGAATACTTCAGTTTTGCCACAAATCTTTCAGCCAGGATGCCCAAGCCCAGCTGACACATGGGTGACCAAAAAACACACAGAGTCTTACATTATTTACAATGCTGTTGGCCAATGATTAGGATTTATTTGCTAGTTCAGTCTTAATTATCAACTATAATCATAAGACTTATCTTATGGAAGATGCAGGCGGAATGCGTCCTGTCTTCCTGGGATCACTTGGTGGATCCAGAGCAGAGAGCAGGAGCAAGAGGAAGAGAGTGACTTCCTCTTTGTCTCTGCTTATATTTTGAGTCTGCTTGCTCTGTCACTTCCTGCCTGGATCACAAGACTTCTCTTTACTACATTTCCCAGAATCCTCCTTGACTCCTAGTCCCACCTATCTTACTTTCTTATTGGCCAACAGTACTTTATTTATCAACCAATGAGACAAGCATATACACAGAAGGACGTCCCCCATCCTTGACAGTATCAAGAAATTTCTGTCAAATGAGGAAGAAAAACACATATGAAAATGTGGAGTAAATTGAGTCAAAGTATGTGGAGGCGTACTATTGGATGCTCATGTAACTCTGAAATGGATTGGTCTTAGTTTTATACCTTGTAGAGTAGGAAATATGGCTAGTGTATATGCTTTTTATCTAAGGCAAATCAAGGTGTATGTCCACCTACTGAAATTTCATCTGCCTGTGGTGAGCTGGGATGCCCTCACATTTTATGCCATACTACAAAAACAAAGCAAAACAAACAAACAAAAATCATTCTGAATGTTTGACAGTTGGCATCTTGCCATATAGTATCAGTCAACTTTAGGTGTCTCCTGGAGGGAAACCTGATTTTCTAAAAGCTTCCAGGAGCTAATTTTCCATTGTAAAGATAAGTAAAAGAGTGACGATATGTTCTTTAAAGGGTTGGCAGAACAAGTAAATGAGATAGCGTATAAAAGAGATGGGTGCACAATATTCCCTTGCTGACTCATCTCTCCTAAGGTAAATCTAATGCTAAATTGCCTTCACCAACATGTGGTACATAACAGGACTTTTTAAGCTAATATTTCCATTACCATATAAACTGAGATGAAGGAGGAGGACTTTCTGTGTGAATAAACATAGGCTGCTAAGAACTAGGAGGAAGAAAAGGGCAATTCAATTGCTAGTTATTATTATTCATATTATTATTAGATAGCCTGCAGCTTGCCTCTCTAGACTCCCAATATAAATGTTAAAGACAAAAATCATTATCATTAAATGGTAGTTAAAGGCAGATACTCAGATCCTTTTTTTATTTTAATCACATAGAGCTCTCTGGCCTTTGCTGATAGCACAATATATCTTATTAGATCTAGGTAGTAAAATTCTATGTTCTGCCTCAGAGAATTTATATCTCAGAATATTATGCCACCTACTTCTCACTCTGGTAGACACCATGGTAATAATCTTTAGGGATATGTTTCTCCCTGCAAGGCTTTTGGCATCTTCCTCTCTTTAAAATATTACACACTAAGGCTACTTTCTCATTTTGTCAGCCAACTAGCCTGGGGTAGTGAAATGTATTTAGAACATTTTATCCAAATAAACCCAAAGTAAAGTGGTCTGTCATTAGGAAGAATTGATGTAGATTAAAGTGCGGTTATAAACATATGTGTTAAAGTTAAGCAAGTTGCTAGATTGCCTTCATTCAAAGTGTCTTAAAATAAGCCTAACAGAGCTGCAATCCTTTACAAATGTTGGAAAAGAAATAGGAAGAGTTAACTCATTTCCATATTAATCATTGTCAGGAGTGGGGTGTCTTAAGAGGTGACTATGAGCATTATTTGCTCATGAAATTAGATTTCAGGATATAACATCTAATTAAGAAGTTAATAGAAACTTGAGTTCTCTTTAAAATAGAACCATATTTTAACCATCCTACGAAATGAGAAGTGGCCCCATTTTAGAAAGCTTTCCCTATAAGTAAATAAATAAATTTCTACAGGCTTTCTTAATGAAGCACAATTTTATCCATGACCCAATTGACGACTAGATGACAATGATGCTTAAATCTGTGTTTTCTGATTCATGTGTCCCCTTTTATTTAAAGGAAGAAATTCATAATTTTGAATAAAAACAATTATAGGTGTTGTCAGATGAAAACTTCTATGGTCTACTTTATCATTGCACTGTCCACCAACACATACATGGCCATGTAAATTCTTCCATCAGCAAGTTAGAACATTCCTGAATTATAAATCAATGGAACATTTCCTCTTTAACCAATTTTACCTAAGCTGTCAATCTTTTACAAAAGTGCCTATGAAGGCATAACCATAGCAGGCATTACTCCTATGAAAAACAGAAGACATCTATCTAGCAGATTTTAGAATGCAGGTGACTTAAATACCACGATACTAGGTTCTGTCTTTAGGATATACTGTATGTTTCTCAATGTACAATATACTTGTAGGATAGCTGTTTTTCTTTTTCTTTTTGCATGTCTAACTGAAGTTTACCATTATGATTAATAACAGGCTACTCTCTTTTAAATAATGCAGACACTCTTAGTTAGGGTTTCTTCTGCTGCTGTGAAGGGACACCATTGCCATGGCAACTATTACAAGGAAAGCATTTAATTGAGAGGACTGGCTTAAAGATTCAGAGGTTCAGTCCATTATCATTATGGAAGGGAGCATGGCTGAATGCACGAGTTGAGTTCTGTGTCTTGCAGGCAAAAGGAAGTTGACTGCCTGTTATGTTACACTGAGGGAAGTTGAGCAAAAGAGACCTCAAAGCCTCCCTACAATGACAAACTTCCTCCAACAAGTCCACAGCTCCTAAGAGTGCTACCCCTTTGGGGGCCATTTTCTTTCAAACCACCACACAGACCATTAGGAAATATTCAATATGAAACATTGTAAACTGAAATCCTATCCCTGCTCACATACCATAGGGTTGAAGAATATTACTATTTCTTATTACTATAAGATATTTTTCATTTTTGAGACAGTTTCTTGCTCTATATCCAAGGCTGTCTTCAAATACCCAATTCTACTTCAACATCCTGAGTGGTGAGACACTAGGTTTATGATACTATATGTTAAGGATTGTAGAAAGTTTGATAATTATTACATGGTAAATGAGTCTATTTATGCTACAATTTTTCTATTTCAAAATATTAGACTTGCCTAAATAATTTCACTTGACAGAACACATATTAAATAAGCATAATTTTAAATGCTCAGAACAACTTCAAAAATTTCATAAATGAAAATCAAATCACAAAATAACAATAACAAGGATTGTTTTTAAGAGGTCAAAGCTCTTATTAAACCTGGGGAGATGCAAATTTTTTCACAAATAAGTGGAAATTGTAGAAGAGCTACTTTGTGTACAATTAGAGCCTAAATATATTTCTTCAGAAGTCATACATTAGTGTAAGTCATCAGTGTATCTGTATTAAGAGGGGCAACCCTTAAATTACTGGTTCTCAACCTTCATAATGCAACCCTTTAATACAGATTCTCATGTTATGATGACCTCCAACCATAAAATTATTTCTGTTGCTACTTCATCACTGTAATTTTGCCATTGTTTTGAATGATAATGTAAATATCCATGTTTTCCTTTGATCTTAGGTGACCCCTATGAAAGGGTTGTTTAACTCTTGAAGGGGTCTCATGATGAGGAATGTCCTTCTGTATATTCTGAATATATGCTTCTCTCATTGGTGCAATAGAACACTGATTGGCCAGTAGCCAGGCAAGAAATATAGATGGGGCTACCAGACTAGGAGAATTCTGGGAAAAGAAAGGTAGAGGGTAAGTCATGAGAGAGATGCCATGTAGTTTCCAAGGAAGAAAGGGAACCCGGCATAACGGGTAATCCCAAGATCATGTGGAAATACACAAGTTACTAGATATGGGTTAATAATTAAGAGAGATAGCAAATAAGAAGCCTGAGCTATTGGTCAAACAGTTTATGATTAATATAAACCTCTGTGTGTTTATTTGGGCTGAGGTGCAGTAAAACTAGGCTGGACAGAAAATCCATTAACAGTGTCAAG